TTTTCACGAGGCCGTAGGTGGTACCCGAGAGCGCTAGAAGGCTGATTTTGAATGGGCAAGGTTGAGCGTGGGCAGGGGGTCATTCCCCTAAAATTTCAGCCTCCTAGACTCCGTGGTTCCCGAGATATTAACTTACCCGTGAAAAACTTTCGTTTAGTACTGCTGTTACACAGCACAAAACGCATAAAAAATAATTGATAACAGCGATAATTATAGTAACAGTGAAGCCATTTATTCCATCAGTTTATATAGGACCATCACGGTTTAGCAGCACTTTATCAGTTTTGTAACACTGCTGTAGTTTTGCTTCTGATTACTGATATTTTTAAAAAAATTTTTTGTTAGTTTTATTAAAAAAAAAGAAAATTTGTTAGTTTTATAAAAATTGTTGAGAAGAAGTGTTGCTGCATGTAAGATTTTTGCAAGTAATTAGTGATTACGATGCGGAACTGCTTTAAAAAGTGGTTTCTTTGCGTATAACAGCAGTGCGAGCTCTTTTTTACTTTTACGAAATTGGAGTTACACGGACTCCTGGTTGCTGTAATTATTTTTGTTATCCAATACTTTTTATGGAATTTCCACTTTGTAGCAGTCGTACTGAATAGTTTGCTGGGAAGAAAAGGTGCATTGGCGAATTTAACGGAGTACTGGGACGTGGCAACATATTTTGAAGTGTCTGTGTTGGCCGAGGATTACCCAAAGGCATGTCAAGCAGCCTTGAAAATGGCAATCATGAAACCTCCGATATGGTAAACTGTACAATCAGATCATCTCCTTTAACTGGCCTGTTTTTTTAAATACTTTTTTATAAGCTTTTAATTGAAACTTCTTCACCGCATTAGTTTTTTTGTAAAATAGGTTTCTGAAATCGACAATGGAAAATATCAAACTTCTGAATCGTTGCGCAGCGACGATGTCACCAGTGGAAAAGGAGAAGCAACAGTTCTTGTTTTGGTCCGAGTTTTTCATGGAAGCTATTGATTCCGAGCAAGAAATAGTATGCGGACGTTTCCCGGTCCTGATCCAGGAAGTTACAAAAGTAAGTTCCGTCGTGCTTGTCTGTTCGTTGAACGGTAACTTTGCAGTACAACACTTCAGCCTTTTTCAGCAATATACGCCAAGTTTTCTGACACTGAATGTGAGCGAGGGTTCGATAATCCTGAGCCATGTACTGGAGAGCAGCCAGCACAAGAAACCTCCTCCAGGTATGACCTTTTTTGCATTGTTTGCTTCACCCAATTTGCATGAATAAACATTAGTTTTTCCTGGATAAATATGAAATTTTGCATATTTGCATGTACAAAAATGATTTTTCATTGTTCTAGGCATCCATCGCTGGCACTTTACGGCAGCAAACATCAAGGCAGTTTCTGCATCGAAGCGTGATGATCGTTCGATGTTTCTGTATGTGCATGAGAATTCGGACGATTTTAATTTGGTCTTCCCTTCTGCCGCTCACTGC